CTTATAACATTCTCTGCTGTTTTGGGCTCAAGGGGCCAACGGCTCCACATTGTGCGGCCATCAAAAAGCACTGAGGTGATAAAAATGAGGGACAGCAAACCCATCGCGATATATTCAGGAATTATCATACATCTTGATCCAACCATCCCTTGAGTGATGATTACCAGCCTGCCCGGCTTTCCAACGGTAAGATAGAGGGAATAACTTCATCAGGAGGGGCACCTAATATCTTCAGTTCTACAGATGCAGGGACATACTTTTTGATCGCAACATGAGAAAGGTAAGCCTCCCAGTATGGAATTGGATGTGTCCTCCTCATGCACCGGAGAAATTCTTGGTTTTCACCGAAATTAGTCTGCCACCGTTAAAAATCACGGGTTTCTGTATCCTGTAAAATGCGTGCGACTAAATCCTTCTCAAAACCACGGATTCTGTTGTCCAGCGTAAGGCATTGAAGAGACTGCATTCTCAAGGATATAAAATATCAGCTCCATCAGTCTTGTTATGGGGCAAAAACTGGTGATCGTCACGTGCTTGATGTTCTCATGATGATGCCTTGGAAGCTCCATTATTTCCGAAGGGTCAATAACCAAATGACGACTCCACCAGCACAAATAAAATATTAAGAAGAATTCATTAGCAAGGATAAAACACAGGGTAAATAACTGAAGAGTAAAAGAAATAAATCACACTTGGAGTCACAAATATGACATACATGCAAGATAAAAGTTTCCAATGCTGGGCAAGCGATGAGAAAAGGAACAAGAAACAAGTATCTGTAGTGAAAGTTGATCACAGCCCTTGGTCCAACCATTGCAAGCTCCAGGTGCTTGAGGTGGATTAATCTTTCTTGTGGCACAATCCATAGATTATAAAACGCACCGATCTCATCAGCAGACATCAGGAAAGAGTTTCAACATTCGGGGCAATTGTTGGAAGCTTTTTACGTGCATAGTCGAACAAGTTCAACCAAGGGTAGATTGATATCCTTATGTCCTTCAGTTGCTATGAATCTCCAAGTGAGAAAGGTATAATGGGTCCTTCGTAGTGAAAGATGGAGATATTTGGAGCATCACTCTCTATTACCTCCAGCTTGTTGCATCGCCCCACCCGCATGTAACTGAGCTCCTGCACTGTGCAAGGTATTCTTAGGCAAGCTATCTCATTGCAGTACCAAAGTTCCAAATGCTCCAGAGTAAGGGAGTTAGAAAGAAAGATCCCAGTCTCTTCTGTGGTAATATGCACCCAGCTAAAATGCACTCTTCTCAAGCTTCTGAACGAACAAGATCGAATTGAACATCCTTTTTCTTCAGCAAAGACACTACATGGGAATCTGTATTTCATTTTGTCATCCCGGGCAAGCTCCAGGGTGAGTTCCTCGATTCCAGGGGTGGATGCATCAAGCCAATAATCAATATGATGGTATTGCAGATCGTGGAAAAACCCGAGTTCAAACTTAAGCCTCTTCACCCAACCGCCAGCATGGTTTCGAAGAATGCCATTGATCCTGCTGATGATAGAAGAAGCCATTTGACCTTTTATACAACTACTCTGTTCATCCAAAGCTAGTGTTTTGCGACTGAATGAGAGCTCAGGGTAATATCCCCAGGACAGTAGAAGCTCCTGGGAGACACAGGCGGCACGTGCAGCATCTTGCATTGGCAGGAGAGCAACTATCTGGTTCAACACATCCTGTGTATAGAAGGATAAAAGACAACCTCAACACGCACTCTCACTAGTATTATTTGCTTGTGTTTGCAGAAGCGGCAATGTCCTGATGTATTCTTTATAATCAAAATCTTTTTTTTAAATGACTTTATTTAATCAAAATGTGAACACGTACACTGTGAAGAGGTCAATTCATTTCAGGCCTGAATGTTTTGGTCACTACTGTTTCAAGCCCATTAAGGCATTAACTTCTTACAGCCTTGTATACTACGCAGAATGCGCTACGAAAATGTTAACTGGATTATCTAGATGACAAGGTTTTGTTTGGTACCTGTGGGAGCCTGTCCAATGTTAGATGGGATCTAGTCCTCTTGGCAGCTCCAGAGTTCCCTACTTTTCTGCTGGGGGAGGCCTTCTTTTTAGCCTCCGATGAAGCATTCGACCCATCTGCATCCAGTTGACAGGGAGGTAGGGAACAGATCGTGTCTGCTTGAAAAAATAGAAAATCTCGAAAGGAAAAAGAAACACGGCTTGTTGACGAAAGAGGCAGAGTACGTCGACAAAAAAAGAGAAGGGCGACCTTTCTACCTAAAAAAACTTGAGCTTTGGCCTTTTGGGCACAGCCGCACAGATTGAATAATACCGGATACGGCCACAAATTACAGAACTGGCTGCCCAGATGAGAGATGACAAGGTGTGGCTAAACAATTGATTAAGGCGGTGAGAGGGGAATCAAGAGGCATACCAGACTGGGTTCGCCGCCGTCTGAGGCGGTGTCTGCCGCGGCGGCGTTTGCCGAAGGTGAGCCTCGCCAGGGACAGCATCGCCATGGTTCTTCGATTCCGTCGAGCCTGCGGGTGCGGGGATGAGAACGAGGAATTTGATCTAATATGATGGACACAACACAGATCACACCTTTGTCCCCGTATAAAATCTAAGCGCCATAGGAAGCTCCCTCTCCCCAATCCGATTCCAGTTCCAACACGATTAGCTTTCCAATCAACTCCGGATGGCTACTCACTTCACTAATTTTGAGTATGGATTGGGCCAAAATTGTCTCTTAAAACACTAGCAAATGTGTCCCTGCATTATAATGTAAATCAATACAAACTGAAATTAGATTATTTATTATTGATAGACGTAAATTGTTCTAACTCGTGTGAACACGTCTAATAAGTCTAGGTTATACGTCAGGTACAGAGGACGTGACCTAATAGGTAGCATACAAGATATGAAGAGTGTAAGTGATAGTTAAGGGTGGTGAAGAAAAATAACATAAAAAATTTGGCTGTTTAATACTATAGGATAGTTATTAAACCATAACTATCAGAGTCCACTTGCCCCTCCATTTGCAGGGGTAGTGGCACCGAGGGATCCACGTGGCGATGGGGGATGTTCGGCGGGAAACGCATCCCCATCTCCTTTGCGTTTATCTTCTGTTGCACCTTCTATTCTGCAAGTATGGAACAGCGAACTGATCGGTACAACTATACCCGGAAACGGATTAAGATCCATGTAAACCAATCCAAATGAGATCCACTCAAGGAAGACACCAATCCAATCCAATCCAACTTGCAAGCTGGAAACATCCGAACCCATCCAGTCCAACAACCTGTAAATCCAATCCAATCTGTCGATCCAGCCGGGCGAGCTCACGCTCCTCGGCCCGGCCGGGGAGCTGCCCACGCCCACGCGCTGCGCCGCCGCGATGCGCCGTGCCTGCAACCTTCCGCCGCGCGCCTCCTCCGTGGCATCCTCCGTGCCGAGGGCCCTCCGCGCTCTACCGCGGCATGGCCTCCTCAGCCTGGGAGCAACGGCATGCCCTCGCTCTCCTCATCAATAGCCGCCCCGAGCTGCACCTCGTGGCCGGGTCCTTCCGGAGGCGTAGAGCACGTCGAGGTAGAACGAGCGGCCGAGCTCCGCCTCCGGCGACAGGCCCACAGCAGGAAGCTGCGGCCACCGTCGTGGTGGCCCCCATCACCGCGGCCACCGTCGTGGTGGCCCTCATCGCCGCGGCCGCTAGAACACCGCGAATAGCGCTGCAACATGCGCCTGCGACGAGCCCTGTATCCTGCTCCTGCTGCGCTGCCCCCGGTGATGTTCCTGCTCCGCACCCTGCTGTGCCGGTGGTGGTGGTGGTGCCTCGCCGCAGCTGCCGTGGCCATCGCAGGCTAGAGAGGAATGGACACGCGGTTTGCTGCCTGCGTGTTTGGATCCCTCACCAACCTTGCCTTAGCTTGCTTAGGACTCCGCACCGTCATCGCCGGCGGCGTAGGTGGAGGAGCACGACATGCATGCTGCCGCCAGGAAGAGAGGTACGGGAGGGAGGGGAGAGATCCAACGGATTTTTGGATATACATGTCTTTTGATCCAGTCCAATCCCATGTGTTTGCGCCTTATGCCAATGGATATCCACATCTAAACAGTATACGTCCAATTAAATTCAGAGTGGGTTAAATCCATTTGCACTTCGGATGATCCAAATCCACTTTCAGGTTTAGGTACAACCATTAGGAATGGGACGGATCTGCTCCTGTCTCTAAACAAATCAATTTTTAAAGTTATTCTAAGTCAACCTTTTTTATGTTTGATTAAATTATAGAAAAGAGTACAAATATTTATGACATGAATGAGTATATTGTATTTGTGCGTCTGTTTTGTACATGGGCACAGCTGGGAGGGAGTACGTCTGTTTTGTACGCTAGACTGGAGGGAGTACGTCTGTTTTGTACACGGGCACAGCTCGGGTAGCTGGCCTGGTTGAGTGGGTTAATTTTGTTAGGGCAGTCCACTGTGTTGAATAGGTATGACATCGATTAGGGCGTCGATCAATTAAGTAAAATGATGACGTGATATTGAAATTAACAAAGAGAGAAAAAAATAGTTTCTTAAAAAAATGTCATCAATGTTAGAAGGTGTTCATCACCAGCATGAGACCTTAATTTCTCTTTTTTTTTTGTGAAACCAGTTAATACTAGAGATCTAGTTTCCGCACAAGCTAGACAGAGCGAGGTGCGCCCTTCGTGAGTTGTACGCTCATTACTCCGAAATAAGAAATATATTTCAACCATCAGCCAACTTATGAAAATAACCATTCCCATTGGATTAAAAAATAAATAGTATTTTATCCAACAATTATTTTATTGAAATTCTGGCTTGTACAAAGAAGCCAGGGGCAATCACAAATAAAGCAGAAACTTAAACATAGGCATGTCCATTGCATGCATGCATTAATTGATGAAATCCGGCCATCTTGAGAGATTAATTATCTCGCTCTTGTGAGGGAACTTTATTCTGATGATGAAGTACTTGCAGGTACCTCCTGGCTCCAGCTAATTTCCCATGGCACGCAGCAGCATGGTCTCAACGGTAAGCCCTGGTCCGAACCCCACCATGGCTCCCCACTCAGATTCCTTCTCCATATCCTCAACACCATCCTCCTTGTCACCATTGCTGTGGCGGCATCGACGACGCATTTCATCAAGAACAAAGATGATGGTGACGCCACTCATGTTACCGTACTCACTCAGCACCCGGCGGCTTGCTTTGAGCTTGCACTCATCCAGACCAAGAGCATCCTCGACGCCATCCAAGACGGCGCGGCCTCCGGGGTGCACCACCCAGAAGAGGTCATTCCAGTCGCCACTCATCAGCTGGCCCAGCGCCAGCGGCTGCCATGCGTCCACAAGGCATCGCTCAATGTTGGCAGCAACCAGCGACGGCAGCTCGCTGGAAAGCTCGTAGACAAGCCCGCACTTACCGAGCGTCGTGGAGACGACGTGCTCGGTCCACGGTATGGCTGCCTGAGCCGACGACACCATCTCGAAGAGCGGACGCTCGGTGCCCTCCTCCGGGTCGGAGCCGACGACGACAGCGCCTGCACCGTCCCCAAACAGAGCCGGCACCACCAGCGTGTCGGTGCGGGCCTCGTCCGGCGCGCGGAAGAAGACGAGGGTGATCTCGGCGCAGGCGACGAGGACGCGCGCCCCGCGGTTGTTCTCGGCGATGTCCTTGGCGAGGCGGAGCGCGACGGAGCCGGAGTTGCAGCCGTTGTAGTAGAGCATGGTGCGCTCCACGCTGGCTCCGAGGCCCAGCAGCGACGCGAGGCGGAGGTCCGCGCCGGGCATGTGGGTGGCTGAGTAGGTGCAGAAGATGACGTGCGTGATGTCAGACGCTGGTCGGCCCCACTCGGCGATCGCGTTGGCCCCCGCGGCCGCGGCGAGCTCCGGCACGGCGGTGGCCGCGATAGCTTGGCGGGCGTCGAGGGATGGCAGCGTGCCGTCGAGGAAGTCCGGGTGGCTGCGGAGCAGCTCTTCGTTGTGGTGGAAATAGCGTTTGTGGATCTCAGTTTTTCCGCCTGCATGCGAAACAATGCAATAATTCATTCTTTCATTATTATCTACTTTAGTTCGGAAGACATGAATATTGATGGGAACGAGATTAAAGAATCACGCAATAAATATGAATAGGAAATTTGCACGTTGTTTCATATATATATATATATATATATATATATATATATAGAGTTTGCGCAATACATATTATTTTTCTACATTTCAACGATATGGATTTCTCTGTTTACTGAACTACTTTATGAATTTGTCCAACAAAGGTCTGTACCATATACTCATCCATAACATATCAGCACATACTTTTGATCTAAAGCAATCGTAAGTAGTAAGTACTACTAGAATAATCTTACAGATCTTCTTCATCTTGGTCTTGAGGTGGGTGAGGTGATCGCTGTCGGTGACACGGAAGAACCAATCCGGGTAGTCCTCCTGCAGTACGCAGTTGGCCGGGTTGGCAGTCCCGATAGCCAGCACATTCGCCAGGCCGTCAGCTTGCATCGGAAACCTCAGTGATTCTTGTTCCGCAGCAGTTCTGCAACAATTTGGACCAAATTAAGCAAACAAGTCATCACACATGCACACTGCTACAAAAGAAAAAAAAAAACTTACCTCGCCGGCATGCAGGCGGTGGAAAGCTTGATGTTGCGGCCGCTCGCCGGCAGAGCTGAGATGTTAGCTCCGGTGGCACCGGCGAACTGCAGACGACGACCATCATGCCAATGGCCCAACTGCTGCGATGGAACTGGGCAACGCAGTGCGTTGGCAGCACAAAGCAGGAGACACATGGCGCCGGCGACCGATCGAGCTACGGAGTAGGTACTGAATAATGTGTTGCACTGGCTGCCCGGTGCGCGCACTACTTCAGCTCGAGATGGTGTACATGCGTTCAGGAGGATGAGCTACCTACTATATATAGAGTGTTCCCCTGCATGTCATTAAACTCATTCTGATTCCCAAGCCATTCCATCGTTTCCTGAGCAAAGGGCATTAAGAATGAACGGGTGTTAAGTTTGACTCCTCGGTTGACTAGTCCAGTCGTGCCCACCCTGCAGGCCTGCATGCATCTGCGTCCGTGGGAGTGGGACTGCGGAAGCCTGCATGCATCTGTTCTAGCGATGCTAAACATTCACTCCTACACAAAACAGAAAATCACCGTCGAACCATCTCTACCGGATATATATACATTAGTCGATAGTAGGAGTAAATCCAATAAAACTTAGATATAAGCCATGACAAGTCATCAACAGATAAGTTTATAGCCTAATTCATACAACTAGCGTCTTCCTTTAGTATAGATACTATTTTATATTTACATGAGACCACCTGTTAGTGTCATACATCGGTTCCTATGGTATCAAAGAGTGGAAGAGGAGCCTTGGTTTCGGTGATCAGCTGGGCAACGGAATCATGCAACAACAAGCTGTGCACACATATCAGTTCTCTCTCTTCACCATATGGATGGTGCTGACGTGGTGGTCAATTCGATGATTGTTGTACCCGCTCTGATTACGATACAGTGTCAAGTCGTAAGCCTGGGATTTAGGCGATTATTGGGGATCCTTTTAAACTGGCAGTGAAGGCATCTAACAATGCTGGTTGAATCAACAGACAAATCCGTAATGATATATCGTTGATGGGTCAAGGCACCAACCGGTAGTGATATATATGCGGCTCATCGCTACCAACTCAATTCACTAATCGGTTGTTATTATATCCTGCGTTCAGGGAGAGGCATTGGCTCATCACTACTTGCAGCCTAGTGACTCCTCTACTCCTCCGGTATGCCATTGCACATCCAAGCCCTCCACTCGGGTGCTAGAATAATTTAGCCACAAGTGCTAGAATAATTTAGGTGAGGGGTTAATATACTATGTGTTTTTGGACTTCGACGTTAACATTGATCTAGTTGAGAAAAAAGTTGTGCATCTTTTCTGAAAAGGTCTTTATTATCGTATATGTAATTTTAGTTTTAGATCTTTGTTACCATATGTTTTATGTACCCTAAAAGCTTTTTTCATATGCATTATACATCATATATGTTGTTGTCTAGGATTTTCAGAATTTTTTGGAATGAGACATTATTTTTTATAGTTTAAATGAATCTCTGCGTGCCTATTGGAAAGGAATTTGAAATTAAAGTGCGTGTACCACAATGAGACCAAAAAAATTACATAAAAATTATATTTGGGCTCATATAGTTGAAGGTACATCTACTTTTATGTTGGGTTATGGTGAATGAATGACATTACATATAAGGAGCTAATGGGTTTTATAAAGTATTTTAGCGATTATCCATCATGAAAAGTGCAAATGAAGAAAGAAGACCCCCAATCCATACTTAAATGACTTAGATGATGTGAAGCAATATTCTTTGAAGATTAATCTTTCTATGCTTGATTTTTATTTGATTTGAGTTTAAGAATATCACACTATTAATATAAGAGGGTGGAATCATATCAAAGGTGTCCATGTGCTCAAAGTACACTAACTAAACCATAGACACCATAATAAAGTTCCCAAGTTTTTATCCTAAGTGTGTAGACTGTTGCCACGATCGGAATTTATGATTTGGTCAGAAATTTAGAATTCTCGAAGTTCAGTGTCAGAAATTCCGAATGAATTTCTAATCAGTTTTTTCAAGAGTCGATTTGTATTTTTTTTATCAGAAATTCTTATCAAGGTTGGAAATTCCAAATTACATTACTTATTCTTTGTGTAGTTGTGCTGGTTTGAACTAACATTCCTAGAAATCAGAAATTCTAATAGGTCAGAATATTCGATCAATATCTACCTGGAAATAGTAACGGCAAGTGGTAGAGTGCGTGGTATTTATAACTTTCCTTCCTCTCTACACATTCACTCTTGACACTTATTAGGAGGCTCGCCTCCAAAAAATTAAATGGGTCTTGCCCATTAAATAGAAGCCACCACGCACTAGTATAACCCTAACAGACCCTGATCTCTCATATACCCTCCTCTCTCTCTCTCCTCTCTTTTGATCCCTCATTCTCTCTTCTCTCTCGATCGTGATCCACCGACCCTTTTCCCATCCCGATGCTATCCCATCAGGATCCACTGCACCCGCTGACACTATGCCCACACATACCCACATAGCCATCACCAATATTCCTCCCCAGTGGTCGCCCCTTCCTCTGGCTACACGACGGAAGTGATGGCAGGGCAACAGACTCCGTCTGCGTCAAGTAGATCTAGCGGATGGCCCCAGGGCCCGCTCTTGGCTGGGATACAATGGTGGCGTGGCGAGCTAGCTTTTCTATAGTGTCCCCTGCCCTCGCACCGGTCGTATTCAGAGAGGCAGCACATCAAGCAGGCCTCGGCTCCGAGTGGTGTGGGTGGCTTCACCACGTGACTCCTCTGCCCTAGTCGTTCCATGTGTGGCCATTCTAGTTGATTGCCTACTGATCTGCTCTGATTTGGTATCCCAAGGCGATGGATGTGCACAGTCGAAGACGGAGAAGGAGGCGAGCGATGACCTCAACATCAGATGCACCAGAGGCAACGGCCCAGATGCATGAATGTTGGGCTTGAAGCCCGAACAAGCAGGCCTAGCTGGTGGTTGTGCTGCGCTATCGTTTTTATTGTTTTTTCCTCCATTTATAGAGATGGGCAGTTTGCCTGCCTCTATTGTTGTTGCATTAACAGTAACCCAATGATAGAGACGGTCACTATGGCCGGTTCTAAAAACCTAATTCACTCGCCTCTTAAAGCTTGGTTGTACTAGTGCTTTATGGGATTTAATGTTTTGCTATTTTTTGTTATTGTTTCGTTTGTCTCCTCTTTGTAGTGGTGATATATTTTTACAAAATATATATGTTTAAGAGTAAACTATTCACGCGTTAATATCTTTAAATAAACAAAAAATTAAAATAAATTATGGTCAAAATTTCAAAAAAAAAACGGACCTTAGAAGGAGTTCGGTCAAACTCATGGCATATTTTGTGTCCTTTTCCTCCAAATGCCAATCCCTGCGTTTATTGTACTCTGAGCAGTATACGATGGATGAATGCTAGAAGTGATAATCAAAGGAAGCTCTTAGCCTAGCTATAGGATTGGCATATATGAACGCTTCCGTTAGCGGAGTCGCTTCTTCTCAATGTACGTGACAGCATGCTGCTGGACGCATGCATGTAGAGAGAAAGCGAGGAGTCAAGGTCATCAGTCAATTCCTAATTTTCTATTCCTATGCGGCCTAAATTCATGTGCAAAGTGTTTTCCCAAAAAAATCATGTGTAAAGCTAGTGCTAAAAACTTGAAAGGCTGTAATTAATTAACGTGCAACAGATTCCATAAAGTTGAACACACTGGCAACTTGAACGTTGGGAGTACTTCTATATATAGACCAGCAGTACCGATAACCATTTGCACCCTCCTGGATGCAATGAGCTCCGAGGATCTGAACCGCGCTCAGCTGGAGCTCTTCCACCACAGCCTCGGCTTTGTGAAGTCCATGGCGCTCAAGTGCGCAGTAGATCTAGGAATCCCCAACGCCATCCACCTACACGGCGGCTGTGCAACGCTGTCAGAGATCATCGCCGGCACCGGGGTCCATGCGTCCAAGAAGCCTCACATGCGCAGGCTCATGAACCTGCTCACCGCCTCGGGTGTCTTCGCTTCATCGGAGGCTGCCACGCCGCCACCGGCCAGCGCCGCCGCTAGCAACGGCGGCGAGGCGGCCGTGGTGTACCAGTACCAGCTGACACCAATGTCCCGCCTCCTCGTCGACAGTAACAAGCTTGGAAGCATGGCGCGCCCCTGATTCGTTTCCTGGTAAACCCTCTCACCGTCCCCACCTTCTTCGACATGCACGCGTGGTTGAAGGCGGACGAGCAGGCCGCCGACGCCGGCACCAGCTCGACGACTTTCTTCGAGATGGTGCATGGCTGCAGCGTGTACGAGATGACGAGGAAGGACGCGGACCACAATGCCCTGTACAACAGCGCCATGGTCGCGGCCAGCCAGATCACCATGGAGATCATCCTCAGGGAGGATGCTGGTCGCGACATCTTCGGCGGGCTGAGATCTTTGGTCGATGTCGGCGGCGGGCATGGCGCGGCGTCGGTGGCCATCGCGGCGGCCTTCCCTCACGTCAAGTGCAGCGTCCTTGACCTCCCTCACGTTGTCAGCCAGGCGCGCGCTGATGGTGGCACGGCGGTGGAGTTCATCGCCGGTGACATGTTCGACTTCATTCCAAAAGCTGATGCGGTCTTACTCAAGGTACTCTTTATTTATTTCTTGTACGATGGGACTTCCTCAAGATGCTAATTTGCAGATACTTGTTGAGTACTTGTACATATTTCATACTTACATCAGTAGTACATATATATAGTATTTGATTCAATAGTGACCAGTGAATAATAGAAGAATTTGAGTGTATATCTGTATCAGTATATATGTATGTTGCAGTGGGTTTTACATTGCTGGGGTGACCATAACTGCGTCAAGGCGCTGCGAAAGTGCAAGGAAGCTATCCCTGCAGGAGGAGGAGGGGCTGGAGGAAAGGTGATAATCATTGACGCTGTGATGGGAGCTGGTCCTGCATCTGCATCCAACAAAGGAGACACAGGCCTTGTACGATGTCCACATGATGCACATTGACGGGGTCGAACGAGACGAGCGTGGGTGGGAAAAGATCATCCTGGAAGCTGGATTCAGTGCCTACAAAGTTGTTTCATCAGTAGGAATTCACTCGGTTATAGAGGTTTATCCGTGAACGGCATTGCCATCGCTATTTCCATGTTGTGTGCTCTGAATAATGTATCCTTTA